CAATTTGAAATGCTTTCATCAACAAATGCTATGTTGATAGCCTTCATGGCATTTTCTTAGTTATTGTGTTAAGACATTTATATTCTACACCTAGTAAATTTATCCTTGTAAGATGCACTGTAGGTGTGGTCCCACCAATACTCTCCCTCCATCCATCCTCCCCCTTCTCCTCTCCTCCCTCTCCCCTTTCCCCTTCTTCTTGGGCTATAATTGGTTTATAGCTTTCTTATGAAAAGCTGGTTTTAAGTCTGTTGGTCTTGGCAGAAACAGCCCAAGCCTTAACTCATAAGCTTTTTATGCATGTTGAGGGCTTTGTGACAGAATTTGCATCCTCTGTGAAAGCACAGACACTGAGAGCAGGTGGAACTTCCAGAGCACCCTCTTTCAGTGGCCTTAGCAAATTACCTCCATCTCTGGGCCTCAGTTTCCACACTCTAAAGTGGTGATGAGGCAAACTCCCAGAGTGGGTGGAGGTGAAGTTTACCAAGTGCTCAGCACAGGGTGAAACATTTCAATGGGGCCCCTCTGATATAAGGTTACTTTGCCTCAGTCAGAAAAACAAAAACATAAAACCACACACAAACAAACCATTAAGCTTTCAGCCATTGCTATTGCCAAACCATGACCTCTGTTGCTCATCCGTGACCCCCACATCCTTCTGAGGTTTGGGCAAAGGATCAGAACTGTGTGAGGCTTTGCAATAGGTCAGTGATTGGGTAACAAAGAGACAATTAAGCACATGACTGGGTTCTACAAAGTGGAAACTTCGCCTTCTGAGTCATGATGGCACTCATTCGGCTTCCTAAGTCAGTGGTGGCAACATCACTAGTTTGAGCTCCCATCAGGCCCCCTGGTGTTTAGTTTGCATCTCTGCACCCTGCCTTCATCAGCTTTGGCCAGGGCAGGCTCAGGATCTGGACCCTTGCGTGGTCCCCTCAGGCCCACCAGGGCTTCTTCTCATGGCACCAGCTAGCTGGAGCAAGGAGAGTTGGGAGTGGACGGGCTGCTCCTGTTGCCTTGCTCAGTGGGGAGGGGAGGGTCTCCCAGCCCATTTCTGCCTGTTGAGAGCCCTGCTAAGGTTTCCAGTCACGTGGTTTCCCACCAGATGGAAGACTTCCTGGAGGCACACAAACATGTGTGAACAAAATCCCCTGGATGAATGAGCTCCTCAGCACTTGGGGGCAACTTCCTCTAAACTCAGGGCACTCCATGAGGGTTGCAGGCTGGACAGAAAAGGTGGGCACTGGAGGGGAATGGAATATTTCCTGGACTCTGCCCAGGTGCTTGTGTCTAATATGGTTGGAGTGTAGGGAATGTGTTTTGAGTAGAGAGAAGGAGATAGAGAGACAAGGCAGGGGCCAGAACAGTCTTAAAAATCACATTATAGCTGTGGAACTCTATCTGAAGAGAAGGGAAGCACTGTTGTTATACCTAGGATGTAATTGAAAGGTTTTTCTTTGGAGAATGCATTCATCTTAACTGCCATCCTTATCATCATTGTCATCATCACAGCTAACACATCTTCAGTGCCAACCGTGTACCAGGCACTGTGCTAAACACTTTCATACCTCGATCCTCTTAACAGTTCTATGAGGTAGATGCCATTATTGTCCCTATTTTAAAGGTGAGAATACTTAGAAAGGATAACTGAGATACCCAAGACCACACTGCAAATAGAAGCCCAAGGTAGAACCACAGGTGGAATCCAGGTCTGCCTGTTCTCAAAGCCATGGCCCTGAACAATGTTCTTTAGGTCTATAGCCTCCCAGGGGTGTGTTTGCATGTGTAAAAGACCACATTGGCTGCCACGTGGAGAATAAGAATTGGAGATAGTGATTAATATTTGAGATCAATAAGAAAAGATAATTGGTCATGAGAAATATCCAGGAAACACAGTAAACAGAATCTAAATGTGATATTGATCTACTAGCTAGAAGGGTGAAGGAAAGGGTACGTAGGTTTCTAGCATGGATGGATTATTGCATAGATGGATGGAGGAGTGCCATTTATGAAGACAGGAAATGCAAGTTTTATTTCCTGAATGAGTGAAGGAATACATGAATAATGAAGGACTCCTCAAGAGAACTGGGTAATGACTTCCCCATCACTGAGAGTAGATATTGTAGCAATATCTACAAGCAGTGGATATTGTAGTGGTTACCCCTAATTTGGAGGGAAGGTTAAATGGTAGGCACTCAATAAACATACATTGCATGAACAAATGATTGAATCACTGCCATCCCTATGATTCTACAACCTCATTGGTTCTCACAGGCACCTAATAGGAGCTTGGTAGTGAGTTACCCATGTAGGAATATAGGATAGGGGAAATATTCAAACAGTATTAATATTTTTTCATCATCTTCCTTAAATTGGTACTTGTTGAGGATATATGAGAATGTACATTTTCACACAGTAAGTATATATATTGGGTAGGCATAATCAATATTTTTTTCTTATAGGAACACACAATCACGAAAGCTTGGCAATCCCTGTTCTACATACAGAAACCTGTAAGCAGGTTAAACAGAAAGAAACGGAATCCTCCTGAAGACTTCTGACTGCCCAGGGAAATGTCCCAGAGACAAAACTCAGGGATTTGGAGAGTTGTAACAAATGATAGAGCTATGCAAAAATTCCACATTCGTTTATTACACTATACAGAAAAGACACATGTTCATGGTTCATCTGTTTTCTCATTTGCATGTGAAGTGCTTCCTCTTTACAGCGTAACAGCTCTTTGCATCCTTCACCAACCAGATGTTCTTCATCAGGGCATCGACACAGCACAGGCGAGCCCCTCTGGGAACTCAGTTGTAGCTCCGATCATTTGCAGACCCCACTTGACCAGTAAGGGGGCAGCTGTGCTCCCAGGAGACACTCAGACCCACATGCGCTCTGGTCAGGAGCAGCTGCTGACATTACAAAGCACAGCCTCCTTGTTTTCATTACACGGTGTGCACAGTTTGGCTTCATTCCAATACTACATGGTTTTGTTTTCCTTCTCCAGCTGTAAGTGTGTACACACAAGGGGCAGGGGAACATGGGCGAGGGGGGCAAGGCGGGCTGGGGAGGGGATCTTTTTTGATTCTTTTTGTTTTAAAATTCAGAGTTGGATTGGTCAGGATTTATGGGGTCTTTGCCTTCCAATTCCTCCTTGCCCTCCAGGTTTCAGCCTCTTTAGAGAGAGCCCAGCAGCTAATTAATACTCATTTACCAAGTGAGCGTGGGGTGACCCGGTTGACTGCCACTGAGCTGCCTTGGTTCTAAGCAGCTTGATGCCCGAGCAGGGTAGTGTGTTCCTCTATACCTCCCTGAGGGGCCTGGCACAGCACTGGACATAGGAGGCCATTTATTAAGATGCATAGAAAAAGAAACAAATTCCCCAGGGAGGAACTGGCCTCTGGCCAAGGATGCAGGTCCAGCCTGATACTCAGGCTTGTCCCTCCAGGCTCCCAGGGGCAGAGCCACATGAGCCCTACCCCTACCCTGTGGGTTTTATGGGCAATTGATGAGCTGGGGACGGTGATCTCTTGTGTTTGTTTCAGCCCAGACCTGCTCTCGTGTGGGGCACTGTCTCCAGAGGGCTTCCTCAAGGTAATGTATGCTTGTGCTGTGACGGCCCAACCTGGGCACAGGCCTCGCTGACCCAGACAGCTGTCAGCCTGCTGTGTGGGGAAGGTTGGTCCTGGGAGTAATGCTTTTGGGTAAATGACCTGCATGCCCTGTCATTGGTCTGCTGCCTTTAGGTAACCCCCACTGCTTCCTACTCACACTCTGCTTGGGGTCATACTGGCTACCTTCAAATAAACCACTGATTAGTGTCCCTTGGTTGGCTGAGACAGGAAGAATTCTGGAGGCAGGGAGGGTCTGTGAGTCTGATTAAAAATCTCTCTTCTTCATCAAAAAGCAAACATTGAAGGGGTGGCTTCCTCCACAAATGCTTGTGTGCGTGTATCAGTTGGGGCTGAGGGGAATGGGAAGAAAAGGTGGAAGGGAGCTCCTGCTATTGAGCACCTACTGTGTGCCAGACGAAGATAAGTGCTTGCACCACCATTGGCATCTAATACTGATTCTCTGCAGAGCTTCTTCTAAACTTTGATGTTTTTTCCTGATACATTTATCCCAGTCTGCTGTGCATAATCATGCCTCACATTCACATAGCACCTTTCTATTTTCAAAATACTTTTATGCCTGTTGCTGCCTTTAGTCCTTGTAACAACATCATATTACAGAAGGGGAAACTGAGGCAGGAACAAAATGATTGTGAAAGTAGTTACCAGCTGAGTTGGGACCTTGGGCTCCTCCCCCGCTGCTCTCTGTACCGCACACTGTGCCTTGCTTGACACGAGATAAAACAGCTTTGTGGTGGCTCAAGAGCTCGGTCATCCCCACACTAGTTTCTTATTTCCTTCAAGACAGAACTGTCTTCTCTTCCCTCTTGCCTACAGTGTTCAATGCTGTACATATAGCAAGTGCTCTTTAAGTGCTTATTGAGTTCTTTTGCACAGACCACCTTGTACTGGTGTGGAGAACCACAGAATCCTGGTCTTCAGGTTCTTATCAGGGATTCTTTACAGTTTAACCTTTATTAATCCAAAGTCTTAGCTGAGTGGATTAAAGAGACCCAGGACACAAATTCAGTCAGGCCGTGGATATACTCTTGGCCACTGCCCCAAAGCTGGAGTGGCAGTTCTCCTGGGAACTCAAGCTGTCTTTCTGGGGCAGGGAGGGAAACTCAGTTACTCCTAGCCCTGCCCCCAGGTCCCCTCTACTCCTGGGAAAAAGCAGCCTGGCTCTGGTAGAAATGAAAACAATAATACTGTCACATTTACAAAGCCCTTGGCTGTACACGGGGCCACTGCTTCCTCACAGCCCGGCTTACTGCAATCAGCCAGGACAGGAATTAGTTTCCTGTGTTTTCTGGAGATAACACCTAGTTGCCCAAAGTCAGGCATGGGATGCTTTCTCTGCCTTCCTGGGCTCACGCTGGAGAAAGGCTGTCTGTCAGTCCTTAGGCAAATTAACAGTAGTGCCGGTGGCGTCCACTCACTGCCTGCTCCCAGCCCCATCCTGCAATTTGTGAATCTGGCGGTCCACCGAAATGGAGGTTCTCAGCGTGCCCATGGAGTTCTCTATCTGCATGGGCTCTGACCTGCAGCCCCCCTTCTGGCACACCCACCAGTACACCTCTCGAGACTTCTTCCGGAAGCGCTTGCCCACGATCACATACACCAGTGGGTTGAGGCAGCTGTTGAGGTAGGCCACAAAGGAGCTGATCTGTGTGATGATGTCGATGATGTGACTGTCCCAGCAGCTGGAGAGGACGTGGAGGCGCAGCAGTGTGTCCAGGAAGGTGCTGATCTGGAACGGCAGCCAGCAGATGACGAACAGCAGCAGCACGGCCAGCACCAGCGCCATGGCCCGCCTCTCTGTCTGGATCTCCTTGAACTTCTGCATCTCGTTGTTGCGCAGAACCTGCATGATCTGTACCGTGCAGAAGGTGATGACACTCAGGGGCAGCAGGAAGCCCACGGAGTTCAGGAGGACGTTGGTGAACACCTCCCAGGTGCGGGATGGGTACTTGATGGTACAGGCAGTGACGTTGTAGCCCTCATCTGTGTACTCCTTCATGGTCCGGAACACCAGCATGGGCGAGCTCAAGAGCAGGGTGCACCCCCATATCACCAGGCTATAGAGTTTGGCCCAGCGCACCCCACGCATCCGGCCCATGGACATGGTTTTCACCAGGGCCAGGTAGCGGTCGATGCTCACCAGCATCAGGAAACAGATGCTGCTGTACAGATTCATGTAGATCATGGTGTTCACCACACGGCACAGCACCTCCCCAAAGAGCCAGTCGAAGTTGTTGGCGATGGTGATAGCCCAGAAGGGCAGCCCGAAGGCCAAGATCAGGTCAGCCAGAGCCAGGTTCCCCAGGTAGATCTCGGCCACCGAACAGCTGCTCTTGTGCAAGCAGAAGACACTGAGGACAAAGATGTTCTCGAGGGCAGCCAGCACAAAGATGACCCAGAGGAAGGGGGCCTGGATGGTGTTGATCCAGCTAAACCATTCGACCTGGATGCAGCTGTTGCTTGGGAGAAGGCTCTCGTTAAGAGCAGACACTTGTGAGGTGAAGTTGAGCATGTCAACACTGAAAAAAAGTGAAAAAGAGGCTGTTATACCTCGAGATCAAAAAGGAAGGAGAAACAACTGGTACAGATGAAGATGGGGGATGAGATGACGCATCTGCCCAGCAGACAGCTTCCTGAAGACAGCCAACTAGGACGTGGCAAAGTCGGGCTGGAACTCAGCCTCTTTTCTGCAGTTGTGCTCAGAACACATCCCTGCAGGTCTGACTTCTGGGGTCTTTGAGTGCCTTCTCTGCCCCTTGGGCCTCAACTGAGACTTCATGTTTGTCTTGAGGCTCCACTGGGATATTTCCTTGGCCAGCATCCATCAACAGCACTAACAATCATGAGCCTTGGATCCTGGACCTCTTCGAACCTCCATGATGGGAAGATAAACTGCAAATTCTTTCCTTATCATTTGGTCCCTCAAAGACTTGATATAAATGAGTAATTTATTAGAACTGAAAGATGATAGTATTCCAGATGGAGAGATTCCAGCCTGGCTCTGAGACCACGGCTCATCTGTCCACTCCCTGCCTCCCTGGGCAGTTTGTCTCCTCTGGCAAAGTGCAGCAGAATCCTACTTCCATGCCCTCCATCAGGGAAGTGTTGAAGGTGAGCAGAGGTTGCATAATGGAGAAGAAGGGTGGGGGCTTTGGAGCCAGACAGTTCTCCTGGTTTCATATCTTGACTCCCTTATTTATTAGCTGTGTGATGTAGGGGAAGTTACTTAACTTCTCAGCTTCTGCTCTGTGCTGAGTTCTGGCCAGGGACACAGGAAAGGGTATCAACTGTCCCCTGTCCTGCCTGAGCTCCTAACAATTGTGGCCAGGGTGTGAGGACAGTCATGGAGGGATGTGGGAGGCAGGAATGGAGTAAGAGCAGGAGGGGCCAAGGCTGGAGGTGACTTTGGAGCTGGGTTCTGAAGGATGAGGAGCATTTCATCAGGAGCGAGAAGGAGGAAGGGCCGACCAGGAAGGGGGGACAGCTTGAGCAAGGCATAGAAGTGGAGAAGCTGCTGGTGTGTTCTGGAAGGTGGCTCTAGATTTTGGACAGGAGAGATAGAAAGTGGGTAATGGGATAGGAAGTGTGCTCTGGAGAGATCTTTCCAGTGGTGTGGTGGTTTTCATATGCCCCAAAGTTCTTTGATCCTCTTCTCTTCAATAGGAGGAGTCTAATTCCTCCTCTTATGGATATGGGCTGGACTTAATGACTTGCTTCTAACCAATGGCAGTGATGGGTGTGACTTCTAAGGCAAGGTCATAAAATGCATTGCAGCTTCCTTCTTGGTCTCTTGAATTGGTCACTCAGAGGGACGTGAGCTGCCATGTTGTGATGACACTCAAGTAGCCACATGGAGAGGAACCAGTGTGCTACCCTGTAAATGGATCCTCTGGTTTCAGCTAAGCATTCAATTGATTTTGGTTTCTCAGACTTTGTGTCTTCCCACTGAGGACCCAGACATTTTTGAACATAGACAAGCTGTCTCCACCATGCCCTGAACTCCTGACCCATGGAAATGGGCAGGATTTTTTCCAGAGTCCATGGAAGGTAAGAATTCCCCTGAGCAGTCCCTTTGGTCTAATCCAGGGCCCCATTTCTTCAGCTAAAGAAATCCTATTTCCTCAGTGCCCCATGCTTGGGGAGATGATTGTCTCTCATGGGCTAGATCACTGGGGGCTAAAATAGCACCAGATGCTGCTTGTTAATTTCTCAGCAATACAGTTGATAACCAGTGGGATGACACCTGGCCCTTAGCTGAGTAACCACAGGATTGTTAGAAGGTTGGCTGGTGAGTGCAGAATTGAAACTATAGCACCAGTACGCTATAGCCTGGGCTGAGATGGCCATCTGGTCATCTCCATTATAGGCTATACCTGCCACAGAACTGAGAGGGTGAGCTGGGTCCCTCTCTTCTGTGTCTTGTCAACATTGCCCCCAAACCCTAGGACTAACATCTTCCTCTGAGCCTTTGGATCAGTGTCCCCCAAATTACTTATTTATTTATTTAGAGACAGAGTCTCACTTTGTTGCCCTTGATAGAGTGCCATGGTGTCATAGCTCACAGCAACCTCAAACTCTCAGGCTCAAGAGATCCGCTTGCCTCAGTTTTTCATTTTTAGTAGAGATGGGGTCTCACTCTTACACAGGCTGGTCTCGAACTTGTGAGCTCAAGCAATCCACCCACCTCAGCCTCCCAGATTGCTAGGATTACAGTCGTGAGCAACCGTGCCTGGCCCCAAATTCTCTCTTTAGAGTGTTCTGGTTTTTCACCAGATGTTAGCCGTGTGTTGGAGATAACTTTGTTTATAAGGCAACCTGGCACATCTCTATCTGATTCATTGGGTAATAACTTTAAGATGTAACTTTCACCTTCATTTTCAAGTTCATGTGGGATAGATTATATGTGACAGTGAGGAATGTGTCATTCTCCTCCTCCATCCCCAGGTCCCCCAGTCCCAGTCCCACAGAACCATCCACTCTCTCTGTTCCTGACAGGCCTCGGGGATTTGAACACATGAGAATTTTTGTCTTTGGGCATAACATTGCCTGCTCCTTCAACTGTTGTCCAGGACATGAGGATTGGGCATTCCTAGGTGTTCTCAAGGTTTTCTGTTCCCTACCCCTACATAGCAAATTGAGGAATCCCTTTGGCTCACCTGAAAGAGGGTGTTGTGGGCACGGAATCCTCAGGAACAGGGAGGAACATGGGTATCTTCCAGATGGGAAACATTTGAACTCAGAGCTGGATGTGAGTGAAGCCCCGCTGGGCCTAAACAGAGGAGAAAAGATGGTTAGATTGGGGAGGGGACTGGGGACCATAAAACACATGTATCTCCGCCAGGGAAGGGCAGTGGGGCCTGCTGAGTCCTTCAGTTAACACATGTTTGAAAAGTACTTACCACATGCAGGGTGCTAGGGTAGGGTGATCAGATTTTAACATCGGTAAGGCAGGACAACATGGCCGGGGGTGGGGCGGGGCAGGGCAGGGCAGGGCCTGACAACAGTGCAAACTTTGTTAAGCAGTTCTCGATAATCACTTCTCAGCAATTATTTGTTATTATTATAGTTTAACATTATAAAATTAACAAAAATAATATAAAACTCATATTCTGGTGAAATAGCCACATGGCAGCCAAAAACTGTATATTCCCTTCTTGTTCTCCCACCTGTTCGTGCATTCTTTCCAAAAATCGGGACTTTTTAAAAACGTCGCGGGACGCTGGGACAAATTGTTGAAAAGCAGGACTGTCCTGTCAAAAGCGGGACGTCTGGTCACCCTATGCTAGGGACACAGAGGTGAGGAGCTGGCAGGCATCAGCAGTCACTAAATAATGGCAAACTAATCTAAGTGAAATGTAATCTAATGAAAGGGCCTGTGACAGCACAGAACAAGGGATCCTGAACTGGGCTGGGAGTATGAGTAGATATTGCTGATGAAACCTGAGGATGTACAGGATAAACAGGGCAAAAGGATTGTGGGGAGAGTGGATGTCTGGGCAGAAGGTCACATGCAAAGGCCCTGAGGCAGGAAGAAGATGGGTGTGTGGGTGTGTAGGTGTGTCAGGCCCTGGCGGCTTCTGGAGGGTCAGGGTGGAAGCAGGGATACCTATCAGTGAGGGCTGCACTTTCATCTGAGTCTGGGATGATGGAGACAGAGGGACTGGACCCCGCAGAGTTTAGAGAGTAAAACTGACATGCCAGGTGCCAGACTGCATACAGAGGGGATGGTGAAGAGAGTGAGGAAGGTGTAAAGGCTGCCCCTGGTGGCTGCCGTCTCCTGCAAAGAGGAGGAAGGAAGGGCTGATTTGGAGGAGGAAGATCATGTGTTTCACTGGAACCTGTTGAAAGTGAGGTTTTTTTTTGAGACTTCCAGGTGGGGATGGGAGAGGCTGTTGGGTCCAGCGTGGACCTGAGCTCAGGGGAGAGGCCTGTGATTGAGGTGAATTAGATAGGAGGTCTCAGATGGCTTCCAGCCTAACAAGGGAGACAGATAAAGGTGAGAGACATCTGTGGTCTCTTGGGGTGGTTACCAATATCGGGTGCTCTCAGGTTCTGAGCCTGGGGGTTTTGCCTGTGCCCCCATGGAAAGGTGTAAGCCTTTCTGCCCAATGGGCTTCCACTGACAAGGCTTATCTGTGTCCCTCTCTAAGTTTCACTTCACTTCCCTGCAAGGAGGGAGGCACTGGCAGTATTGCCTTACAGAGGAGGAAATGAGGTGCAGACAGGTGGGGTGACTTGTCTGGCTGGAGAGATTTGGAGGTGGGGCTTGAACCTTAGCTCTGGAATGGCTGTCTGTTCCAAATTTTGCGCTCACTCAAGGATCCCAAGTGACCTTGTCCTCCTGTCTAGGAAGGGTGTGGAAAGCTGTTGTGAATGCATGTGTTTGCAGGCAGTGTGTGTGTGTGTGTGTGTGTGCATGTACATTCCATGCATGTTTGTGTGTGGGGGTCTAGCCACAGATCTGCCCTACTCTAGCTTTCAGCCACTCCTCATCCAGCAGAGTCTGCATGAACACTGAGCACCTGGGCTGCCAGAGGCCCTGCTCTCCTAATTCAGTTGTGGATGTCAGAGATCAGGCAGTGGATGGCTCAGGGAATTTGAACACATTTTTAAAAAGTATGCTGAATCAGTAAATAGGAAGTAAAATGGAAGATAACCAGCTAATACCCACAAAAGGTTTACATGAACCCCCTAAGTGGAGCTGAGATCAGGATTTAGAACTTGTAAGAAATTCAATGGGCAGCAACATCCTTCTGATGCTTCCAGGAGAGGAGTTTGAGAAAAGATAAAATGACCCAGCAGCTTGCCTTTCTGAGGGGCCCTCCATAGCTCATGGATAGAAAATTCAGCTGGAGTCAGAGTTCATGTGTTGGAATCATTCATTGTTACAGATGTTTGAAAGATTATTGAGTAAGTATCACATGCTGGTGATTCAGAGGGGAGAGGGAAGACAGCCTCCCTGCCCCTGTGGGGCTCTTTCTTTAATGGAATTGTGCAGCTGAGGGACCTCAGCCCACATGCAGCCTGCACAGATAGCTCAAGCCCTCCCAGCTTAGCTCCCTGGAGGAGGTGTCTAACATTTCCTCACTGGTCCTGTGTCCACAGATCAGCCCAGCTGGATCTTAATTGTTTGCTAATGGCTGTGAACATTGCTCTCATTTTCAAAACAAAATTGTGGGCTTTTCCCTCTGACTTTCTCAGGATATCCAGAGGGCAGGTGCTTTACAGACCCAGGAGAGTTTAGGAGCATGAAGTATGGCCTTTCACCTTGGTAGATTCTTCCCCATCTGCTTTGTAGGTGTGTCCTGGGGTAGGATCTCTGGCTACCTCCATAGGCTTGGGAGCTCTGGGTAGGGACCACACCCTGGGCTACTTGCCATCTGGCGTTCCTTTGAGTTTGGCCATCAGGACACCAGCAGGAGACTGGGAGTGGGTGAGAGGATGAAGTACTGGCTCTTCCCTTCACTGTTTCCATTAGGGGCCTTGGTCTCCAGGGAGGGAGGCTACAGGGAGCTAAGGCTTTGTTGTGCCAGCACTGAGGCACCCTGAGGTGCTGTCTGCTCCTTGTAGTGCTTCAGATGCTGTGTACACTGCTGCAAATGGAACCTCTACTGAAATTCTCTTTCTATTATCCAGTTTGAATGTGCTCTCTCTTTCCTACTGGGACACATCCTGGGATCACAAAATCAAATGTCAGGGACATTTAAGGCACAGTGGAGATGGGCTGTGGGGCCAGCGCTCTGGCAGAGGAAGGTGCTCTGAGTGGGCTCCCCTGTTGGTTCTTCACGTCTCTGGGCCTCCATTTCTTGTCTGCAGAGCCAGCTTGGTGGACCCATGCCCCTCACATGCTCTGAGGGTGGTGTGGGAAGAGGCAGGAAATGACTCTGCTGCGGGCCTTTCCCCCTGCGTTTTTAAAAGTATGCTTTAAGGAACAGCCAACATTCTGATTCACTTGTGCTCTTTCTCCTTCAGATTTCTGTCCGAGAAGACTTATAGGAAAATAATTTCCCTTCTTTTGATTATATAAACACTAGGTCTGGGTGCTGTCAGGAGTAAATTCCACTGTAATCTCAGGGAGAGCCAGGAGTCCAGGTCTTAGGGCCTTGGAAGCTGTGGCCTCTACAGAATTCACAGCATCCCTGTCTCAAGGGCCAAGTTTGCCTTGTAGGGACCCCGAACCTTGTGGCGAATGAGAAGAATCAGGGCATGCTACCCCAACATAGAGCAGCTTGGCATTGTGAAGATTTTAAGCTGAAGGGATCTGAGAACAGCAGGCGCAGAAAGGACTCTCTGACCTTCCACTGAAGCAGGTCACCAGGGGCTCACATGAGAGGGGCCCGCCCTGCACCCAGAGGAAAGCCACAACCTTATCTCAGAGACACGGGGGCACAAGCCAGTTCCCCATTCGCTACACGTGTCTCCAACCCAGCGTAAAAATGCTCAAGTTTACCCATTTCATTTCCTTAGAAAGGCTCCCGTGTCATATAAAACTTACATTAAATAAATTTCTATGCTTTTTTTCTTCTATCTTTTTGTTACAGGGGTCCCAACCAAGAACTCAGAAGGGGAGAAGGAAAAGATACTTTTTCTTCCCTATGTCAACTTGTGTCCCTTATTTTGTGGCTGTGTATTAGAGCTGGGAAGCATTTTGCAACACAGGAAGGCGGACCAGATGGCAAATAACCTTGACTCATTTAGTGATTCGTCTGATGAGGCCCAGGAGAAAGTCCCAGAATGGTGCTGGTATATCTTCAACACCTCTCTGTGTTCATTATCTCCCTTTCCAACAGAGCGAGAGGGCAGACTCAGGGCTGTGACTGGTGCTCTGAGTCTAGCCAGACTTTAAGAGCATTGTTTCTATTCCATTGCATTTGTTTTTATAGATAACCTTTCTCTTTTATGACAAGTGACACTCATTTTCCATTTAAGTTGGTAATATGAAGTTCCAGTTCAAAACTAAGTCAATGTTAAATAGTTGTACAGGTGACACAGAGCGGCCTGCAGCTCTGACTGTGAGCATTCGAATGTGAGAAATGGCCCCAAAGCATCTAGGTGGAAACTCATATCCCCAACAGCGAGGCACAGCCTGGCAGTTAGGCATAAGGGTTGCATTGAGGTTTCCTCCAAGGGCTCGTTGTTTAACCTCCTTGTGCCTCATTTTTATTGCTGTATAATGGGAATTAGTCTAAAAGTAGCCCCTACTTCCTCAGGCTGCTGTGGGGAGCAGACGAGTTAGTATGTATCAGAGGTGTGGAGTTATTTGAGAATGTAAGCGGCTCTTCCTTCATCTCTGGAGAAGGCTCCTCTGCTCCAGCCTCAGCACAGGCTGCAGGATCTTGGAGCAGTCCTTCCTCTCAGCCTGCTGTCCTGCTCACAGACCTACTGAGGTTCTCAGACTCTGATGACACAGACAGGTGTTGTTGGGACACCACCAGCTGTATGTTCAGAGGAACTCTTGAGACAATGTGGGGGTGGCTGTTCTGTCTTTGTATCCCCAATCAGTGCAAAGTGGTAGCTGAGTGTGTGTGTATGTGTGTACATTGGGTGTGCACGTGTGTCCCGTCCTAATCTGTTTCCTCAGAGAGGATGACCCTGCCTTGTTCATCATCCCACCCTCCATCATGCCAGCGGCTATGCTTTGCACTTCGGAATCTCCTGAGCAATATCTGCTTGCTCCATAAATAAGCAAAATTCTTCAGACCACACAGGAAGCTGACATCAAGGCCAGAGCTAGAAAGCGCTGAGGTCTCCTGAGTCTCT